AAACAGAGAAATACGGCCGCGCGCGCCTTTCGACCACCATCCTTCTCCTCCACTGTCTTGGCGATTATTCTTACCATTCGTGGAAAATATTCTTCTTCTCCCTCCTCTTCTTCCTCCTCCTTCTCTTCCTTTTTCTTTTTCTTATTCGCTTTCAAAGAAGAAGTGTTTTCGATGAACTACTCGGTCGGTAAAGTTTAAAGAGGATGGGATTACGTAGGCGGATACTACGTAGTGGGAGGGGGGGGGACACTTTGGAGGGTATTCGGACAGGGATGCTAGTCGGGACGTTGTTTCGCTATTTGATTCATATTTTCGTTTCGCGTTTCTTTATCCGACGTATAAACGACAGATCCTGAAATAGGGGCGGAATATAAATCACGAATGACGCGAATACTTAATAGACCGTGTTCCGAATTTATACGCAAACAGCTTAAACCGTCCGATTTACATCGTCGCGTAGATTTGTACCACGGTATATGCAAACTCCGCGCTCTCTCGCCCACGGTATTATTTTGGGATTTGACTAATCCCGTGAGAGGGCATGGACCAGCGCGTGTGATGATCAGCGTCTCGTTTTTCGCCCCACGTTCGATTCACCGCCACGGCCAAGTGTCAAGCTCGTAAGTTTTTTGAAAAATATTCAAAAATCTCGTGCGCGACGTCATACGATGCCATTTTACGCGCACGTGTATATGTATATGTATATATATAACTTGGGACACTTTATTGTGCATTTAAGGTTTCAAACGTTGGTGCTACCGAGTTCCATTCGGATTCGTCAGTCTCGTGTATTATTTGCGATCTACTGAAAATAACGCTACGTCCGGTTTCTCGCGATATTTTCTTCTATTGTAACAAAAATAAACTATGTTTCAGGTCTTCGCTCGATAAACGATGCCGTCCCAAATAAACTTGTGGGCATTTTCACTTCTGCTCCGATAAGCATCCATGCTTTAATGGAAAAAAATGTTGGAAGAATCTTCCTCTCCTTTGATTAGATACAGGTTGGTAATTAAAATTTAAAATACGATCGAGGATGTTTATGCTATTTATGGAAAATTCAAAGGTATAATATAAAAATATTACGTGATAAAATTAAAATTATTACCGATTTGTCGAGATATTTATAGAGATGTGAAACCACGTCACGTTGATGATCGAAACAAGGATACTTACACATACTTGTGGGATTCTAACGTGACAGTTATCGAGGCATGTAGGTGTTTCAGGATTGCCAGCTATTATCTTCTCGGTTTGACTCATCGCTACCTGAGATAACGCCGATCATAGGTCACAGATAACATGGATGCTCGCACCATAGAAGCAATTCTAGGAATTAATGGGGATAACTGGCCGACAGTTAGCGAAATGCTATTGTAACAAGTCACTGCGAGGCGCACATCTGTATCACCGTTTCATTGGACCTTTGATGAAGTTAACTACGATAGCTGTAATACGGTAATCTTAAGGGCATTACGTCCCTTCTTCTTTTACTCTTACTCTTACTTTCCTCCTGATAAAATTCAAGATGATTAATCACATATAGATATAACTTCCTTGTTGAAAGCACCTCTTATTTTGGTTATCGAAAACCACCATCGTCGAGAAAATTTTTCGGTGATAACGCGGTCTCCAGGTACTGCCCCCCGCGTTTCAAAATTAACCAAGCGAGTATTTTTAATTACGTTTACCGGGGAGGAAGAAAGGCATCAACCGCCGGCCTTTAACCCCCGCCAGCTTCGACCTAAGTACGTTTACTCAAGAGTTTGCACCGTGGCGGGTATCTCGAAAGCTAAAGCGGTTTCTCTGCAAACGTAACACGCGCCCGTCCCGTGTGCAGACGCACTCGCGTGCATTTATTTTCGCACAAACGGCGATGAGGCACAATACCGGAGGGGTAGAAAAACCGGTGGAAAGATCCATCCGTGATAAAAAAAGAAAGAAAGAAAGAAAGAAAGAAGAAAGAGAGAAAAAGGAACTACTTTAGAAAAACGCGCAACGTGTTTCCATATTTTATTTAATTACTCGACAACATTCAAAGTCGCTTCCCCAACGGGCCGTGTTGCTGCTTCCCCATTAAGAGGTTTCGTTTAAACGAGCCGCAAGATGCGTAACTTTTTTTTGTCACTCTCTTCTTTGAGAGAGAAAAGTCACACAATCCCGAGTGCGTCGCTTAAATCAAGGATTCGACGTTATCTTTTACACCGCGCCGCTTAAATCAACCTGTAAAGAGTTTTTCTCTTTTCTCTCCGCCTCCCTCGTCCTCGTTTTCCGAAACGAGAAACCGCGTCATTCGTCGTAATCGATAACAATGGTGCACAGATTGGCGATGGAACATCATCATGGGGCGTTATAGTTATGCGTTTCTGATACGAGTCCTCCCCATGATTCCCATCCACCCTGCTCTCGAACCTCTGACATTCCCGATGGAAATTATCATTCGTTCTCGATTTCGTTCGATTATTGCGAGCAATGAGACGGCGAGCGACGTCGCCGAATAAAGTCTGCACCCGAAACGAGGCACCCCTCGAGTGCTCCTCTAGTGGAACACGCTCACAACCGACCATCACGCGTACACGTTCACGGGCGAACGACGCCACCGTGTCAACGTGTGCGTGGTCTTAGCTCACTTTTATTGTCGGAAGCCGAACTGGAGCGCAAGAGTCTACTACCACCCTTCCTCCCCTTTTACTTCTCCTCTCTCTCTCTCTCTCTCTTTCTCTTCCCCTTTCTTCAAGAGTTTATTTCGCGAATCCACCCACCACCCCCACCCCGACTTGGCTCGAACCCTGGCTTCCACGCTACGCTAGCAACCCCATATCGCGTCCTGAATACAAATCGCGATGCTTCCTTTTTCGCGAGTTTCCCGAAGAAGACTTTCTGAACGCGATCATTACCATTAATGAAGAAGAAGTCAACGGGTGCCTCTTCTCTTCTCGGGCCTGTCCCTCTTACCGTTTCGTTCGAGTGGCGAACCCCTCAAGGAAGCTCTCTCTCGTGGTCTTTCTTTCCTTTCGCCGCCTTTCTCCCCCCCTCTCCTCTTCTCCCCCGCATTTTTATTCAAAGTATCGCGGAAGCGCGACGAGAGGAGGAGGAGGAGGAGGAAGAAGTTTCGCGGCCGATCGTAATGCACGATTATTCCCTCCGGTATCGAGGTGCGCCGCGAGGTTATATCCGCGATTTACAATTTTTATGCCAGATTCCCGGCAGAGCGGGCACGAGTTTCGCGGCCGCAGCAGCCGAGTACGGCGACGTGTCGTTGAACTTTGGAAAGCGGCGGCGGCGGCGGCGGTGGCGGCGCCGTGCCATTGCTTAAAATTTAGTTACCCGCTCGGATCCGACCGATGTTTTATTCAGCTACGTGCACGGACGCCGTGCTTATCCCTTCAGGGAACAGGGATACAAATTAATCGGGATCCTGTTGCAATTTTTTTTCCCCCTCCATCCAATCTTTATCAACTTTATCAACGGTGGCGAAAAGTAGTTTGAAACGGGCGGGTGTGAAACGGGATCTTCGTTCGGGCGATACGCCGATCTTTCGAGTCGTTGAATTAGAATTAAAGCGGGCTCGATGTATCGACGACACTTTTTGGAGATAGAGGTGTGAAGAAAGTGTTTGCTCGCGATAGGGATTATAGGGGCGCCTGGTTTAATCGGTTAATTTCGTTTTTCTTTTTTTCTTTTGATTAACGTGTCTTTTTTTTACAAAAATCCCGATGTTATAAATCGATCTTGCGCATATTTTAAGGAATTTTTTTACGTTTGGAACACCGAGGCGTTAGTTTAACTGGAAGTTCTTTTCTCTTCTTCTTCTGCGAGATATGCAAACGAGCGCCAGACTTCGATGATTTTGAATTCTGAAACTGTTTGATAAGGGATCGGGAGGTGTTCGATATGGAAATTTGATCGCGTTGCCGCCTATCCCGCTTGTTCTCGAGCTTATTGTGAAAAACGCGTACGTCCGAACAATTCGATTCTTTTCCTACTTCTATTTTATCGTATCGCAACGTGTTCTTAACCCATGAATTCGTGTTCAACCAATAGGTAAAAGTTTTCGCTATGAGAATCGAGAGATTCTTTTTTTCTTCTCTCTCTTTTTTTTCTTTTCATACGTGACGTCTCGTCGATGTTATAAAATATTTTTTTATTCGCTTATACTTTGAATTTACTTACTCCTTTTTCTTACTCGTTCTTTTACAATTCTAGAGTTTTTCCATTCTATTTACATTTTAGAAATTTTTTCCCATCTCATAATACGAACATCTCGTAATTTAAATCGTATATCCGTTATTTTAAACTTGGTTGTTTCGGTTATTACGTTTCTAAAACTCGCGGAACCTTGTCTCAAGTTCGATGGATTTTCCGTAACAACGTTATTACTACGGTTACAACGGTATTTCCCGAAGCTCGAGAGAAACTGAGAAAAGGGGGAGGGGAGGGGGGAGAGAGAGTGGTAGTTGGAAAGCCTTGTACTCTGCACGATCTGTTCATCTTAGAAACAGAAGGACCTGCGATACGTGAGGGAAAGTACTTCTTAGACGGACTTGGACTTGTGTGCCGGGCCCACGAACCCTTTGGCTATCTCCTTAGTTACACCGTTGTTCCGTACGTGAGCAAGATAGTTAGATTGTCTTCTCGAAGTTATCCACTGTTCGCGAAATTAGACCCTCGGCTTCTCTCCTTCCCGGGTCCATACGTACCCACCGCAACCTGTGAGCGTGTTTCCGCAATATCCGCTCGCCGATGATCACACGCTCGAACGTTAGCGCGCGATACTACGTAGAGAGGCGAGGAAAATAATCGGTGATACGCGCGCGGCAAATTACATTCGCCCGTAAATTTGTTTCGCGACGCGGCGAAATAAATTATGAATCGCGCGACGGACCGACCCCCGACTCTCTTTTTATCCTCGAAATTCGATTTCTCGTTTGTTCAACGTTTGTTATTAACGTTGAACGGCGATCAATTTCGACAGAGAATCGAAAGAGATGGATCGAGGACGAATTCTCGAGATTATCTTTTTCTTCTTCTTCTTCTTGAGGTAAATTACTCCCTTTTTACTTCGACTATTCCATTCTCGAAGACAAGTTCTCGAGAAATATCTTGGATAAAATTTTTCTTCTCGAATCAATTCAGAAATTGTGTCTAATCTCATCGAGGTTTTTAGTTAGCAACTCTCCCCCTTTCCTGTGAGCAACGTCAGTCACTTTAAATCCCTATTCGATATTTCGATATATTTTTCTCCACCATCGCGTCTCGATCACCTATGAAATTGATTCGCGGCAAATCTTCCAATCTCGTGCTTTAACGCCCCCGCGGCTGCGGATCGAGGACCGAGGAGAGTAAGTCTTTCGAACGTATCAAGCCGGAACGCGTGCGCTCGGCAGAAGGTCGGATGGTCATTTATCAGAAAGAGTAGTGGATCGGGGCGGATAATCGGTTCGAGAGGGGAGGGTTTGTTATCCCTCTGCCCCCTACTGCGCGCGGGGGGCCGTTTCGGAGAACGTAATCGCGCTTATCTTCGTTCCTCGTTCTATTTACCGATGGAAACAGATCGGATGCCCTATTATCCCCTTGTTTGTTATCGGGTACAACGATTCTCGACACGTCACGGATAATAATCTGGACCGAAAAGCCTCCCGTTACAATCCGTGTCCGTTGTGGAACACGCGGACGATCGACGGGCGCGTGGTCGATTCGTTGCCGATTCCTCGTCGTCGTCTCTCGTCAAATTAATTGTTATCCGGTGTATTTGTTAAAACGCGGTTCCCTGCCGCGATTCGATCGATCGAGGGAACACGTCCGTCCAATCCTGGATCCATCCCGTCCGTTTCCCTCGAATAATAACCATTCTCAGAGAGGTGAACGATTATTAATAACACGCGATTATATTTGCTGTTATATTAATTAGCGTGAAGAGGGCGAGTGACATATTGAATGGGCCGAGCTCTCTGGTTCCATCGAAAAGGGTGGGACTTGACAAAAGTTAATAATTGGAAATAATTCCTGTTTACTTCGTCGAGTGGGGCTATGGGAGCGTTGTGAAATTTAATTGAAGCGATCGAAAATATTTTTCGATCGTTAAAAAAGGACGAGGATCGTGTATTATCTTTTGTCGACGAGTATTCGCTCCAATATATTCGGTAACGGATCGTTTTGCATATGAAATGTCCCGGTTCGCGAATGATTATTAGAATCGAAGATATATATATATATATATAGGATAGAAACGTTACGTGGCAATGTCCTTTCCACCATTCCGCTATGAAATAATTGTATCCCATTGCGGTGATCGAACTGAATTAATCAACGTGAATGGACGTGGTAGATTCAATTAAGCTCCTCCGTTTGTCCTTCCCTCCAGAGATCCATCCACCGCCTCTTTTTATCCCACGCAGATACGATCGTTCGTTTTCCAATACCTCACCCCTACGCATTACATCTTTTCATCGTTTTTACCATCCATTAATTGCAACACTCGCCTATTTATA